ACTGGTCCCCTGCCCACAAGGGAGCAGGGACCTTGACTCAGGCAGTAATTAATCTGCCTGCCCCAACACTCAAGGGGCTTGCCAGTAAATGCAAGAGCAGCTTCGCTGAATCTTCACAGCATCTCACCCCATCAACTGAGTGTCATTGTACCATTACTTTCATTTCAAGGTGATCAGAGCAAAGTGAAACCAAAAAGGGAAGTCACTGGCGTGGGGTCTCCCAGCCTCAGGAGCAGGGAGGTGGCAGGTGGCACAGGGGGTAACCACCGGGGCTTGTGGGTGGGACTCTGTGTTAGGGTATGTGCTTAGCATGTGCCTGGCTCTGAGTTCCATCCCCGACACCAAAGGAGGTGTGCGTGTGGGGGGGATCACTAACTCCTGCTCAGGTTGTCCCCAATGCCCAGTGAGCTCTTTCTTCCATGTCACTTACCCTGGCCTTCATGCTGTCTGTGTCCTCAGCAGTCCAAAGACTGCTGTCTCCAGAGCTTGGGATGGGAAAGGCTGGAAGCTGGTCCTATCATATGAGGGAAACTGAGGCAAGGGAAGAGGGTAGATCCAGGTCAAGGCAAATGGGCCCAGGAACCAACAGCCTTAAAGTCTCCAACCATGCGACAACGTGTCCATCCTAAAAGATGTGGGTTCAGATACCCTGCCAAACCAATTCCCATTGTGCAGATGGGGAAGATAGGCAGAGAGGACGCGCTGTCGGCTCAAGGTCACCCAGTTGGTCAAAGGCAGCAAAGAAAGACGACAGGAGCAGGAATTTCTTCCCCACCCATCATCCCACCTCTACCGCGGGACGATGAAGAGGCCTGGGGTGAGCAGAATGTGGAGTTCTCACCCTGCTAGATTCCACCGTTCCCTCCCCAAGCTGGGCGCTAACCAGACGGGCAGGTTAGGGCGCGGCGGGGGCTCACGATGCTCTGCTCGGAGCTCCATGTCCGGTGGGCCCGGCCAGAGGGCCTGGAACCGGCCCCGGGTGGGAGGCGGTGCGGCGGTTCCCCGGGATGGAAGCTCGAGCAGCGCAGCCCCGGGCCATGGGCGGGGCCTGGCGGAGGGGCGGAGGCTTTGTGCACAGGGGGCGGGGAATACGCATCGGGGGCGGGCCGTGCGTGGAGGTTTCTGAGATCTCTCTGAGTTGGGGATGGGGGCGAAGTCTTGACTTCGAGGGTAGGGAGTGAGGATTCCACCATACTCAGTGTGTGCCACGGGCATGGAAGAAAGAGGAAAAGATCTCCCTATCTGAGCCATCTTGCAATGGCTGCCTGGCCGGGAAGACTTGAGGTTCTCTATTTCTGAAATTGCCTGGAAAGTGACAGGGGGACAGGAAATGAAGCAATGACTTCGAGTTAAGCAGCCCGGAGTTTCAGACATGAAGTGCAAGTGAACTCGAATCTGAAATTCAGATAGGCAATGATGAAGCATGTTTTCGTTTTTGAGACAGAGTCCCATATATATCAGACAGACCTCAGATTTGCCAGGATCAAGCTGCTGAAGCAGAAGGTTGAGCCCTGGGATTAATGGCTCTGGTTGTTTTCCGGTATAGCGGTTCTGTACTATGTCAATGCTGCCTTAGCCTGAGCCGTTTCCCCTCACTCTGTAAAGTGGGAAAAATAATCCTCTCCCAGTGATAAAGGGCAGAGGTGGCTCGGGTACTACCAGAAAAGTCTGTAGTCCCAGAGAGGCACTTTGGCTTGGTTTCTGTGGAGTTCCCACTGTCCTCTGATCCCGGAGGATGAGAACCGCTTGCCTCCATCGCAGCCACCTTCTGAGCTATTACACCCAGTCCACTCCTACCTCAAGCCCTTGACTTGCTACACTACTCTAGCTGGACTGCTCCAGTCACTGCCTAGTACGACTCCTTGTCACTCAGGTCAAACTCCCCAGTCACCCTTTCCAACAGTACACCCCAAATTTATTTTATTCTTTCAGACAGGATCTTTCTATGTAGCTGTCCCAGTTTGCTCTCTGTTGATATGACAAAAACACCGTGACCAAAAAGCAGCATGAGGAGAAAGGTTTATTTCAGCCCACACTTCCCAGATCACAGTGCATTGCTGAGGGAGGGCAGGGCAGGAACTCAAAGCCAGAACTTGGAGGCAGAAACTGAAGGGGAGGATGGAGGAATGCTGCCTTCTGGCTCACTCCTCAGGCTCACACTCAACCACCTAACCCCCCCCCCCTTCTCTTTTCTTTTTATTTTGATATTAGAGACAGGGTTTCTCTGTGTAACAGCCATGGCTGTCTTGAAACTAGCTCTGTAGATCAGGCTGACCTTGAACTCACAGAGATTTGTCTGTCTCTGTCTCCTGAGTGCTGGGATCAAAAGTGTGAGGTGCACCACCATCACCACCCAGCAGCAACCACTTTTCTTATACCGCTTAGGACCATCTGCCCAGGGGAGGCACTGCCCACAGTAGGCTTGGGCCTTCCCACATCAGTCATTAATCAAAGAGGAGGAGGAGGAAAAACAAAGGAAGAAAGGAAGGAAGGAAAGAGGGAGGGTAGAAAGGAAGGAGGGAGGGAGGGAAGGAATGAGGGTAGAAAGGAAGGAGGGAAGGAAGGAAAGAAAGGGAGGAGGGAAGGAAGGAAAGAAAGGGAGGAGGGGAGGAAGGAAGAATGTCCCCAAAGACATGCCTATAAGACAATGATGGAGGCAGTTCCTCAACTGAGGTTTCTCCTTCCCAGATGGCCCTCCTCTGTGTTGAGTTGAAAACCCACCAGCACTCTCCAGGCTAGTCTGGGACCTGCTCAGCTCCACAAGTGCTGGAGTTACAGGCATTAGCCACCCCTGCAGCTGTGCACCGTGGAGTCATTCTCTGAATCAGTCCCTCTGTTCTCAGTCACCTGCAGCACACATGGTCCTGACACATACAGAACAAGGCAGGAAAGCTAGCAGTCCTGGGTCCCTGAGGTCACTTCCCTCACAGCCCTGTCAAGGTTCCCCACCACCGGAGGGGGAGTTGTCACCTTTGTATGTAACCTCAGGGCTCTGAGGTTACATACCAGACCCCAGATGTGGCAGCAGATCCCAGTTCTGCTCTGGCACCTGCGACCTTCCTGTGTCCCTGGCTGGACACCTCTGGGTGGCATCAGGAGCTCTCAACTTCTTGCCAACCAAGAAATCTCTGCAGCTGCGCCAGCACAGAGTAATCGTCCAAGAACACCCAGAACAGGCCATGTGTCTGTTTGAAAAGTGCCAATTCCTGGAATGTTCCAGTGAGGCCAACCTCTTTTGCTTTCCTCTCCCTGCCCTGTCCCACCAGCCACTTTTCAAAGTCTGGCCATATCTGATGGGCCAGCTAAACAGTTATTGAGAGGCATTTCCAGGGTCCTGGCTAACTTGTCTTGGGGGGTAACCCTCACCACCCCCAGCCACACACTGCTACTTCTTGCTGACAGTAGACATACTGTCCAAACTGGACAAGCAGGATACAGGCTAAGCAACTGCTAAATCTTGCCAAGACAGGGTAACACAGTCTGCCACAGCCTTAGCCAAAGTTGGTTGCCCCAACGTTACTGTGAGTCCTTGGGTGACTGTCCAAGTCAATTTTTGCACCTTTTGGAAGTTGCCTGCTTACACTTCCTTCTCAGGTCTTTGATGGGGTTGGACTAGACTGCCTAGTCACTATCCTCTCATATCTCAGTTAATGCATCGGAATACTCTGTTATTTGCCAGTTACCAATAGCCTGAGCATTTACTGTGTGTTTTTTGCTTGATGATGTTCTAAGTATGTGTTTTTTTAACCTTTTTTTTTTTCCTCCTGGACAATACCTGATATTTGCTTTTATTGTATATAGTTTTGTGTTAGGTTTAGAATCCTCTTATTTAGATAAAAGGGGAATTGTGGGAACTCATTCAGCCAATAGCCTTTGGGGTACTGACCCATTAAGACGTGGTCTTCCATGTGAACGGATAAGGGCACAGAAGCACCTTCACTGTGTCTTGGATGGTGGTGGCAGATCAGATCACAGCTTCCAGTACTTCTCTACCTTAATTGTCATTTGAGTGATTCTCCAATAAATACCTGACCTCCCTTTATTCTGGGCTCTCATGGACTCTATGACAATCATCCATTACAGATGTTTCTTTTCTTCCAAGTTCCAGGCCCTTCACTGTGTCCTTGGCCTGGGACCCAACAGGGATATGTGTGACCCTTCTGGTCTCAGAAGTTAAGGCTCCTTTCCTCCTGGTACCACCTGTGAGGTGATTTGGTAATGGTTCACTTCTTCAGGACTTTGACCCCAGGGTTCTCCCTAAATCTGTGTATCCCAGGAGAGTACCGGTTTAGGACAGCTGCCCAGGCAGTGTCCAGTGTGTTCCTGAGGGTTGTTTGTGTCCTTTCTATTTACACATTAGACTAAGGAGGGACAGGGGGTTAGCACCATGCCCTGAAAATAGCCAGGCTCTAAAACACCTTGGAATAAAAGGCCATTGAGCAAAATTGGATCAGATTGGGGTCACAGGCCATGCTGGTTTCCCAGAGGAAGGAAAAGAGGTGCTTAAGGGTTCTATAGGCTAGTCCAAAATCCTTGGACTGGCCACTGAGGCTTCCTGTCATTCAAAATCAACAGTGACCTTTGAGGATCCCTCCCCCCACAATTCCAGGAGGCCCTGCCTCTGCCTCACCTTTATCTGCTTGCCTCCTAGAGAGCCTTAATCAGAGCTAGGAATTGGGAGGCCTAGTGTCCAGGGCTGGTCTTGCTCCTAACCTGCATCGTAAAACCCCTGGGCTAGTTGTCCCATTGGGACAAGCGGGTAGAGATTCCACTCTCCCCATTCACCAGAGTATAAGGCTAGGGCTATAGGAGCTGGGTGGCCAAGACTGGTGGCCAAGTTCCCAGGCACAAGGCAAGGCACAGGCTGGTTCCAGCATTTATTGCTAAATAGTTTCTCTCACCCCCTTCACCCCGTGAGCTTCCATTTCGCAGTCTGTAAAAAGAGAATACCAACATTTTTAATAGTAAATGATCCAATGGTGTGTGTGTGTGGGGGGGGGGGAATCCTTGCTTTAAACAGGGCACAGCACCATCACCGAATGGAGCTGAGTAGTTACAGCATTAGTTAGGGAATGCTGCCGTCCTGTGGCTAACAGGAGGAACTGCATGCTACTCCCTGGGTACCGCTGGAAAATTATTGCGGGTGGGCACATGCCCATTGTCTAGAGGAGGAGGATGCAGACAGGTGGGAGTCACTCGGTGTGCGTCTCCACCCACTGACAGAGGCGACGCGCGTAGCGAGCCGGGCTGACGGTGGAGAAGGACTGGCCTGGATAGCGCATCATCTTCCACAGCTGCTCCAGCCGTTTGCGAAAGCCATAGACAGTGGTCAGATCCACCAAGCCCAGAAAATAACGTTGGTCTGGCCCGTCCAATATATGGAGGGCGTTGGGAACATCGGGCAGCAGCCGGCGGTTCTGGCCCTCCGGCCCCCCCGAGTTTGGTGCACCATGTACGGACCTAGGTGTGGGAATAGGATAAAGCTGTCCCCTCCTAGCCAGTGAGCTCCACTAGGGGGCTGAGGAAATAGCGTAGTTGACAGTTAAGCATTGATTGGCCACAAGTGGTAGCCGAGCCCTTGAAATATAACCAGAGTCCTGGGAAATATCCGGCTCTAATATAAACTGACCTTCAGAGTCAGTACTGATAGGCTGAAGAGATGGTTCAATTTTGCTGCTCTTGTAAAGGACCAGAGTTCAGTTCCCAACATGTACCAAGAACACCTCAGAACAGCCTATAACTCCTGCTCCTCCTATAACTCCTATAACTCCAGGGGATCCAACGCCATTTCTGGCCTCCACAGGCAGTACATTCACGTTCACACACATGTAATTTTAAATTAAAATCTTTTTTTGTTTTGTTTTGGTTTTGGTTTTTTGAGGCAGGGTTTGTCTGTGACTTTGGAGGCTGTCCTGGAACTAGCTCTTGTAGACCAGGCTGGTCTCGAACTCACAGAGATCCGCCTGCCTCTCCCTCCTGAGTGCGCCACACAGCCTGGCTAAAATAAAATCTTTTAAAAAGGCAGTATTAAAATAATGCAAATGGTCTTTTTGGTTGATGAAATAAAATAATAAAAAGAATTTTTAAAAAATTTTTTGAGAAAAGGTTTCTCTTTCCTGGAATGCACTAAAATTCTGGCCTCCAAGTGCTGTGATTAAAGGCTTGCACCACCACACATGGCATAATCAAATATAGTAATTCAATATTATTTTTAAGAAATTTTAAAAATTTTATCTTATTTTATGTGCATTAGTGTTTTGCCATGGGCATCAGGTCCTCTGGAACTGAAGTTACAGTTGTGAGCTGCCACATGGGTGCTGGGAATTGAACCCAGGTCCTCTGGAAGAGCAGCCAGTGCTCTTAACCACTGAGGCATCTCTCTAGCCCCTTCAATATACTCTTAAAATGTCTGGGTTCCTCTCCCTTTTTTTCAAGACAGGGTTCATCTGTGCAATGGCCCTGGCTATGCTAGAACTTTCTCTGTAAACCAGGCTGGCCTTGAACTCACAGAGATCTGCCTGTTTCCTGTCTCCTGGTTGCTGAGATCAAAGGTGTGTGCCACCACTCCAGGCCTTGGTGTAGTAGGCTTACTCTTTAACAACTGAGCTACATCTCCAGCCTTTTTGTTTGTTTGTTTTTTAAACAGTCCTGGCTGTCCTGGCATTCACCCTGTAGATCAGGCTGGTCTTGAACTCAGAGATCCTCCTGCCTTTATAAATGAGGCTACCAGGGGAAAAAAAATTAATTCTATATTTCAAAGACTCAGCAGCCACTGGGGCCAGTGCCTGTGAATGGGACACAGAGCTATAAACAGAATTACATTTCTGTTGGGGAGGGCCAATCTCAGTCATTTAGGTCATACAAACTGGTCCTTGTCTTGTGTCTCCTAACCCTCTGTTTGTGGTCTAATCCTAGAAGCCTTAGGCTCATAGAGCTGAAGAACTTCGAATAGTTTGTAGACCTGTGAGTTCCCTTAAACATATTCTTAGGAGCGGGTTCAATTTCTCTGCCTTATCCTGCAGGGGATGCAACAAGGCAATGGTTCTCCATCTTCCTAAAGCTGTGACCCTTTAATACAGATCTTATGTTGTGGTGACCCCCAATTATAAAATTATTTTCATTGCTACTTTGTAACTGTAATTTTGTTACTGTTGCGAATCATAATGTAAATATCTGGTATGCAGCCCAAACAGGTTTAAGACCCACAGCTTGAGAACCACTGCTATAGGGCTTTATTCCTATGTTGAGGGCAGGTTTTTGGAGAAAAGATAGCCAATGAGAGCAAGGCCCACCACAGTACCGACCAATCAAAATGGGTGGCAGAAGAGCCTGGGCAGGATTAACCTGGGGTGGGGTGGGGTGGCGATGAAGGGCCTATTGCGAAATATTTCAACATGACTATCCTATGCAAACTGGGACTTGGCAGTGCTCAGCCTGACACATTAGCAGTGGGTAAGGGCTAAGCCGGAGTAACAAAGCTTCATGCATGTCCCTTCACCCTCTGATCCAGACATGGCTGGTGGTCAGGCTGTGACTGTGTGGGGAGTCATCACTCTGAATCCTACTCAAATTTCCTCCATCCTAGAGGCCTCATCATAGATGGGGCAGGCATAGAAGTTGCAGAGAGCTGACAGTATCCTCTCCTTTTACTTCCCTTGGTGTTATTTAAGACAGGGTCTCTCTCTGTAGTCCTGGCTGACCTTGAACTCAGAGCTCCACCTGCCTCCAGAGTGCTGGGATTGAAGGTGTGCTTTAAGGCCATATCTAGCAGGCTTGGCCTCTTAAATGGCCTTTCTGTTCAACCATAGGGGTGAGCCTTGGGAACTCTGCTATCAGAATAGAAGCCCTTTGACTTCCCACCTGCTCTGAGCTTGACTGTCACATCAGTAAAATGAGACACAGTTCATGGTCTCAGTGAGGGTCACAGTCAACATGGATGGAGTGACAGTTACTTCTACACAGGACACGATGATGCCAGTGATGATGACTTCAGGGATCTAGAGATGGAATGACTGGGTAAGAGGGCACAAAACTGGATGGGTATTGTCCCTGCTCAGAAACCTCTGGTAGCCCCATTTGTCCTGTCAGAAAATAGGCAGACTACTCAAAACATCATTAAAAGGCCTTGTCCAGCTGGATTCCTCTAGTTGTGTCCCCAGCAGCCATGCTACATCTCACACACACACACACACACACACACACACACACACACACACACACACACACACACACTCACACACACACTCACACACACACACTCACTCACACACTCACACACACACACACTCACTCACACACACACTCACACACACACACTCACACACACACACACACACACACACACACACACACACACACTCACACACACTCACACACACACTCACACACACACACTCACACACACACTCACACACACACACCCTCTCACACACACTCACACACACACTCACACACACACACTCTCACACACACACTCACACACACACACTCACACACACACACTCACACACACACACTCACACACACACACTCACACACACACTCACACACACACACTCACACACACACACACACTCACACACACACTCACACACACACACACACTCACACACACACACACACACACACAGTGCTTCCCAGCCTTCAAGCCCATGTCTCGCTACCAGAGCGGGGACAGTGGTACACTTATGCTTGTCGTCGTGTCTGGAGGCAATGCTCACCTGAAGGTGCGGAAAATGCTGTAGCGGTCCTTTTCATCCTCATGGAGAAGCTGAAAGGCCACCAGGAGGCTGTAGTCCAGCATGTTCAGGTCCCGCAGGAAGGCAGTGTCCAGCTCCATCTGGCGGAGGAACCAGTTCCGCTGGGGCCCTGTGAGAGCACCAGACCTCACCTGAGTCCTCATCAGGTGTAAGCTGTACCTCTACTTGCTGTCGTGGCCATCCCCATCCTATGATTTGCCTTGTACCCCAGTTGTGTAAGTCTGGAACACGGGTTTGAATCCTGGGCTGCGACAGGGCAGTACTAGGAACCCCCATTCCAAACCTCACCCTGACTAGAGGAAAAGGAGCCAGTGGCCACCATGTGTCTCACCCAGGCGAATGGTCTTGCCCTCAAAGTTGAGGTCCTTCAGCACCAGGAGAAGGGGGCTGCCCTCTGGGACTGGCTCCACCCAGCGGCTCAGCTCACAGGCCTTGATGTCATACCTGAGAGGTGGGTATACACAGAAATCAATGGACGAAAGAGCTTCCCAGATGTGACTGTTTCTGTGTGGGCTAAATCACCATGGGTGATACCTTCTGACACCTCCAGGCCTTAGTACCTCCTAGACTGTGTCACAGCAAAGAACAGAACAAGGATTGAACTTAGGCCTTTGCAAGTCCAACCTAGGTGTAAGCCCTACCTTGCCTGTTTCTCAGTACTTTATCTTCCAGGAGAGGATCCCACCAGCTCTCCAATTTTAACTACATTTATTTCTTTTTTATATTTTATTTATTTTGAGACAGGGTTTCTCTGTGTAACAGGCCTGGCTGTTCTGGAACTTGCTTTGTAGACCAGGCTGGCCTTGAATTTACACAGATCTGCCTGCCTCTGCCTCCCAAGTGCTGGAATTAAAGGTGTGTGCCACCACCGCCGCCAGGCCATTTATTTATTTCTATGCACATGTGTGAGTGCATGGTGCCTGTACATGACTTGAAAGAATTGGTTAGTGCTTTCCACCATGTGGGTCCTGGGGCTTGAACGTGGGTCCTCAGGCTTGCCTGCAGGTGGCTTTAGTGACTGAACCATCTTTCCTGTCCTGCTCTTGATCCTATTAGACTTCCCCAGCTTCCCAACTATAAAACGAAGGTGGCTAGTACAGTGTGTGGGCTGTAATTCCAGTACTGGGGACATAAGGCGAGAGGATGAAAAGGTGGAGACGAACCTGGACTGTTTCAAACTAAAATTAAACAAACAAAAAAGACCTGGAGAGATGTAGCTCAGTGGTGAGTCTAGCATGTACAAAACACTGTACATCACAGGAGCAGCCCCTCAAGAATGGAAACAACTCAACGCGTTTTTAAGAGAAGTGTCTCCCACCTGCGGGATCTTGGGAGGATCAGTTCTTCCTGCGCCTATTCTGCTAAGTATCTGGGCCTCAGATTGCACTTTCCCTGTGGAACTGGAACCCTGTATTTGTTCCAGATGCACTCACCTCTCAGAGATGCGGCTGACAGGGTAGAAGACGCTCTGCATGATGATGAAGTACCTCTGGGGACAGGAGTGGGGCGTGAGGGAAGCACGGACCTCACTTTCCAACAGCCCCCACTGCTGAGCCACCTCGCCTCTGCCACACCCACCTTTTTCCCGTGAGCCACTCGCAGACTGTGCACTCCTGAAAGTGGAGAAGGCACCAGGTGAAGGTCTCTAACTCCACAATCATGGATCCATGTGACCCGAGTTCCCTACTCCAGGCAGCGCATCTTTCTCAAGACCCACCTCATACGTGAGCCTGTCATTTCAGTCCCGTGCCCCCCGTCCCCCCAGACTCCCTTCTGAATTTGTGTCCCTTCAGAATCAGTGCTATCCCACCCCGAAACGCAAGCTAGAGACTCTACAAGCCCAAATTAGTCACTTTGGGCCCGGTCCCAGGATCTGCCCCGTCCACAGACCCCTCCCTCCCCTCCCCGGGCCCAAGCCTCGTACCCAGCAACCGAGCCAGCAGCGTGTGTGGGTGCCGCAGCAGGTGCTGCACGTAGCGGGGTAGGTGGGCGAGCAGCACCTGCACTTCCTGGCGCCTCTGGGTCTTCAGGAAGAAGCGCTGGTCATGGCTGCGGGTGAGAAAGAGCAGTCACTCACTGTCCAGCCTTAGCGGGAGTTATTCGGTCTCTTGCCCCTAGTTTTGCCCGAGAATGGATGTGTCTGGACACTCTCCCTCACTTCATTACACCTTCATCAGGTCCTGACCCTCACTGCCCATGGCCATCCCATCAGCCTGGAACCGAGCCCCCACCCAACCCCACCCCTGCTGCAAGCTCACGACAGGAAGAAGCTGGCTTTGCTCTTGGAGGTGCTGCGAAATTGAAGGTAGGGGCCACCGGGGCCCAGAGTAGCCTGATAGTCTTCTTCAGTCAAGCCTAGGTATCTTCTCAGGCGTGCAAAAGCTGGGCCAGCCAGGGTGCCCAGCTCGAAGCCCTGTAGGGGAGAAAGCAGCCCCAAGGGAGTCCATCCATGCAGGTCCAGATGTATGCAGCTGCCCCTGGTTTGGAAGAGGCAGGACCCAGCAAGGTCCCGGTGAACAAGCATCACTCCCACTCACAGATGAGGAGAGAGCAGAGGCAGACAATTCCTTCTGGACTCCTTACCTCTTCGTGAACCTGGGTCATGACTTCTGAGAAATCCTTCTGGGTGGGAGGTCCCTGCAGGGGTGGGTAGAGGTGTTCACAGAAACTCAGGGTCTACCATCGCCTACCCAGAGATTGGTAATACAACACATGGCCTTGTCCATTACTTTAGCAAACAGTCTTGTTAGGCTGAGTTGGGCATCCAGGGCTGGAGGAAGTATGGGTGTGACCTGAGGCAGGGCCCCATGGGTATATGTTATCACCCACCTCTGAGTCTTCAGGACCAGGGTGTGAATTCAAGCCCACTACATGCTTTCAAACACTCATCCCAGCAAAAGGAAAGGTCTCTGAAGCCAAGTGATCTGCCAGGGGTAGCCTGGGAGAGCCAGACTGGAGAAGGCTGACTGGGGAAGGTGATCGCTGAGAAGAAATCTGAAGGGAGATGGATTGGAGCAACAAGGTCCTCAGCACTGGCAGGCAGGGGACAGGGTGAGAGGGTTCAAGTGTTTGGAGCCCAGAAGTGTGTGGATGAGACTGGACCATCAGCCCGGCTGCCAACGGTATCTTCAGGCTGTACTCAGACCCAAGGAACCATAGCAGATGTTTTGCAGGTGATGAGGTCAGGCTGTGGTGTAGGGAATTTCCTCCAGATATGGTGCTTAGACTGTGCACATGTGTGTACACACAGACAACATACAGGCTGACCCGCCTACTGGGTTGCTGAGCTGGCAGTTAGGTGACCCTTTCTGCTGAGCCAGCGTGGGCCCCAGCCTGACAGGCTCCAGGGAGGATGGGCTAGGTTAGGCTGGGTGGGGATGGGATCCCCTCTTAACTATACAAGCTGACAGGGCCCAGGGGCCTCAGCAACCAGGGGGTAGTAACCCATTATACAGATGGGGGTACTGAGACCTAGAAAAAGAGAGGCCCACCTCAAGCACACACCCACCACTTGAAGCAGGGAGTCCCTCATACCTCCTAGGCTTTCTAGCTTCCCACCTCAGAATTTCTGCTTCTTGACACAGTTCCTGCCTCCCTCTTTTTGGTAGGTCTCTCTGACGCCCAGAGTCACAGTATTAGTGAGACAGATAGCTGGGTCTCCCTCCCTCTTGGAGTTTGGTGCATGGGATGGACTGGCCATTCACCTTGGGTGGGTTATCCATGGAGACCTGGGTGGCAGCCCACAGTCCTTCCTGCATCATCCGTGTCATCCTATGCAGTTCATGCCCTGGACTGATCTCAAACAGGCCCACTCGATTCTGCTTGTCTCGAAGGCGCCACAAGAGGCCACGGGGATTCCCTGAGGCAACTGCCCTGTTTCCAGCCTCCAGGGAAGAGGCCAGGATCTGATGGGAAGATGCACAGGAAACAAAGAGCACATGGCGGTGTCTCCAAAGGAAAGTTGCACAGGTTCAAATGCCACTTCCAGTAATTGGGAATCTTCCCTTTGTCTTTCTCTGCTTCATTTTCCTTGGTCATAAAACAGGAATAATGCTATAGCCATTCTCCAGGCATTGAGGGGCCACATAGCACTGGGCACATGGTATCCAAATAGGGTGTACTCAGAGCATACCTTCTTTCTTTTTTCACTTTTTAAATTTATGCTGTGTGTCTTTTACATTACGTATATTGAACCCATTCATTTCCCATCCTGATCCACTCCAGACCATGCCTCCTATAGTCAAGTCCAGTTGAGTCTGACTGGCTCTCAGAGGCTACCTGACCTTAGGTCAGTCCCGGGGCCTTATTTTTTCCTCTGCAACATGTAAGGTCTGTTACATGTTATCTGCTTCTGTTGCATCTGAGCTGCCTTCAAAGGAAGCCTAGCCAGCAGGTACTAGGATGCTAGGAGATTCAGTGGCTCCTATTCTCTACTCTGTGCTGTGTTCTTCTGTGCCAGGAAGGGTCAAATGGATGCGAAAGTCACACCATCATGTGCTCAAAGCTGAGTGCTTGAGCTCTTAACAGCCGTATGGAAGGGCTTATCATCCCCATTTTCCTGATGAGGAAACTGAGGAAGACCTGGGAGAGCTGGGGGAGACACCCACCTGATCACCACCCCCTTTATACCTGCGCCCAGGTGGGGCGTGTCCTGGCCTTTCCAGAGCGAAGTCCCACCCTTCTGAGATGGGGGGCGTGTCCACGCCTCTGGTCAAAGGAAGGCGGAACCTGTTCACTTACCCTTCTGTCCCTGCTCCAACTTGGCACTTACCTCTCGGGACCCAGGGCTTGGAGCAGCCATCGCCCCCAGCTGCAGCTTCTCTGGCTTTAGCTGTGTCCCCGAGGCCCCAATGCAGGAATCAGGCCCCACCTCTGCATTGCGACAGGCCAATCGCGAGGCTCCTGTCGTGCTTGTGCCCAATCCGCGAGGGGGGCGCTGGCCTTTGCATGCAGGTCCCACCTCCGCGGCTGCAGCATCCTCGGGACCCTGGTCCTGGCCGGGTGGGGCCGATGAGCGTTGGCCAGGGTACCAGATATTAGACTCCCTGGTCACGGTTACTCCCAATCTGCAAGGGGGGCGCTGGCGTTTCCCTGCGGGCCCCACCTCCGCTGCAGCAGCATCCTCCGGACCCTTGTCCTGGTCGGACGGGACCGCAGAGCATTGGTTGGGGTGCTGGAGAAAGAACTTTCTTCTCAATTTCCTTCTGAACTGAAAACGAGAGGTTCTGGTGCTGGCCCTGGAGGCAGGCAGCCTAAATCGTGTTTCTTGGGTCTTTGTAGACATGAAATTCCCATTGACTGTCTCTCAGGTGAAGAAACTAAAAGCATAGAAAGAAGTGACTACCACCAGGTCTTATAGAAGTAGGCACTCTTCGGTGTGATTTGAAGCACCCACGGGGAGGGGGGCAGAGCGGTGCCAGACTCCAGAGATTTCATAGTGAGCTAGCTGGAGAGACACAGCTGCTAGCCTGATCTTTTAAAGGTATAGACAGGATGATGTCACCCTTGTATTTCCAGTGACTTTCCTTGGCAGTGGAACAGAATTCAAACTCCTCACATGGCCCAGGCTGCCCTACTCTAGACTTGACTCCAAACACCTGCCTGCCCTGAGCCTCAGCTGCAAGCTTCCAACTCTAGGTATTCCCCCTCCCTGGGCTCCCTAGTAAAGTTCTGACTGGACTTTTACTTGCCTTGATCCTTCTTGCCACTTTGCAGGACTCTATGCAGTTGCCCCTCACTCTGGATCACATGACCTTTATTCTCAACACCCTTGACATGAGCAGAGATTGTCTTGCTCATGTATTGGTTTATTACATCAAACCTCCTAAAATGGGAGTGCCGCCAGGGCAGGACCTCAGTTCCTGCCTCAGTGCCCAGCATGAACTGGTGCTTAAGAGGCAGGTGTGGATTGGAATGGTGGGATTAGGGGGTGCAGAGGGACTTGACGAATTCCCTACAAGTAAGAGACCACAGTGGCTGTAGGAATTAGAGACAGTCCCTGTCATGAAGGGCCTTGGGATGGGGGAGGCACAACCCAGAGGGGAGCTAGAAGTGAAGAGAAAGATGTTTAGATATGCTGGCTTAAAAATGTTTATTCCTCTTCAAAATTGTGTGTGTGCGTGTGGCATCTAGAAGTGCTAAGAGCTCTGGAGCTGGAATTGCAGTTGGCTGAAATCACTTAATGTGGGTGCTAGGGCTGAACTCTGGTCCTCTGGAATAGCTGCTAACACATCTCTCCAACCCAATATGTATTTTTGAGAAGCAAGCAGAAGCCAGAGTGGTAGGGAAAGTGCAATGCAGAGACCCTCACTCTTGTTTTAGGAAGAGATGGTAGCTTTGTATCCAAAAGGGGCTGCAGAGGGTATGAACAAAGGACAGTACAGTTGTGTAGATGAGAGATGGGGGAAGAGAGTCAGGGTGAGGGACACAAGCTTAAGCTTCTAGAGAAGTACCCCAGGGTCCCCTTAAGAACTAAACGAGAAGCTAGGGATGTGTCTTAGTAGGAAGGATGATTGCCTAGTAAGCATGAAGCCTTAGGTTCAAGTCCCAGGTTTGGTGTTCCAACCTTGGATTCCCAGCCCTCGGGAAATGGAGACAGAAAAGAACAGAAGTATAAGGTCATCCTCAGACACATAGTTTAGTGCCAGCCTGGGCTACATAAGACCTTAAAAGGTGTGCTAGGCAGCTGGGCATTGGTGGCCCACACCTTTAGTCCCAGCACTCGGGAGGCAGAGGCAGTCAGATCTCTGTGATTCCAAAGCCAGCGTGGTCTACAGAACTAGTTCCAGGACAGGCTCCAAAGCAATACAGAGAAACCCTGTCTGAAAAAACCAAAAAAAAAAAAAAAAAAAAAAGTACTATGCTTCCGTTGACTCCCCAACTGTGACTTTTACCCAATCAGGACCATAAGTGTTCCAGTTCCTGCTTTACCCTGTGTCTAGCATAGGGACAGCACAGAGGTAGGACCTGTGGTACCCTCATTGCACAACTAGGCAAATCTGAACCTCCTCCAGACAGTCTTCCTGAAGCAAGGGTGGCAGAGACAACACCAACATGATCAACATTTATTTGTAAGTTTTTCCAAACAGGTCAATTGGGATCTGTGGTTTGTCAGTCTTCCCCTAGGGTTTTTCTGGGTCCAGAGGTCCTCATGGAGTCTGAACAGTGTCAGACTCAGAAGAGCTGCCATGTGAAGAGACAGGTTGGCTGCACACAACCATGGAGCCTGATGCACCTATCAGCACATGGCAGGAGGAAAACAGGCAAGAGAGCAGAACCCTGTGGGAGTGGCAGGGAGCTTGACTGCCTGAGGCGGACAGGACCAGCAATGTTCAGACCCTGAGCCCGTAGCGGTGAGGGAGAGGTTTCGCGATCCACCTTCCTCTTGGCTTCTGGAAGGACGAATAAGAGAGGAGAGGGCTCCAGTTTGTCATCAGTTGGGCTGTAAGCAGCCCCAGCTCCCAAAGAGGGCTGCAGCACAGCCGGGCTGACTGTCTAGCAGGGTGTGACCCTTGGTCCCTTTCCTGGAGGAGATATGGAGAAGGCTGGTATCCTCATCCCTGCTGGACCCTCACTGAGCCTTCTTGGTCACCCTTCGGCTCTTCAGCATCACGTAGGTGATAAACAACCCTGGAATACACAGAGCAAAAGGGCTGGGAGGACCAGAGTGAAGGCTGGACAGCCAGGGCTCCCAAACACACTCCATGCAGGCACCTTCAAGGTCACTCCTTAAGCTGCACGGCCACTCATCACCGAGTGGATGCATGCTTTGCTGAGTGCTTCAGATTTCATGGGGAATGATCTGCCCACCCATGCACTCACATATCTGCCCTCCCACCTGCCAGCACCCATCCCATCATCCAGCACCCGAACCACTCTTCTAGCACGAGCTCAGTGTCACTCCTGCGCTAGCGCTTATAATGCTGTGATGACAAGAGGGTAGGTGGCTGAGGTGCGGAGAGTGAAGATGAAGCTGGGACAGGAAAAGGGAGACGTTCCCTTACTGCCCCAAGAACCTGAAGTACTGGCACAAGCAGAGAGAGGGGTTTCTGCTTGTAGCCTTTAAGGAGGAAGAGGAAAACCCCAGGGAGAGTTGGGGACAAGGAGCTTCTATGAACGCCAAGTGCCAAGATGAGAGTGGCTGGCCTTCCAGACACCCTGCCCCCACAATCAAGGGACTTTTGGAGAATGGAGACTTACCCACAAATAGGAGCAACAGGAGGCCCGTGGCCAGTGGAATGAGGACAGCATAGGCACGAGGCAGGAAGTACTTGTGGATGACATGCTGGCTGTCAATGAAGGGCTGGCACCAAGGCCAAGAGCTCTGGTGAGCACTACTCATCTTATCCAGTCCAATGAGAGCCATCCCACCTACTCTGTCCAATGGGCTGAGCCCACTGGGCCCTGAGGACCTGCCTTGATAGCATCCCAAGCCTAGCAAACAATTTATGAGGTTCCCAACCTTCGCTCTTCTAGGTGTATGTATTTTGACTATCTCAGTCAGGTAGCTTTGAACTACTGCCTTAGCCTGAGTACTGGAAACCATTCCTTTTGTTTTCTGAGGCAGGGTCTCATGACATAGCTCTGGAACTTGCTATGTAGACCACGATGGGCTCACAGAGACCCACCTTCCTCTGTTTTCTGAATGCAGAAATTCTAGGTCTTTTTAAATTATTTTATTTTTTGATTATACATACGTGCAGATGTACCTCATCCAAGCCCTGGATCTCCTGGATGTAGCCATGTGGGTGCTGGGAATTGAACCCCAATCCTCTAGAGGAGCAGCCATTGCTCTTAACCAATGAGCTATCTCTCCAGTCCTCCTAACTTTTTTCTCTAAAAGATATCAAGTACTGCAAGATTCCCCCTTTCAAACACAATGCACTTTTAAGCAATAACTAACAGAATTTCCCACATTAAAAAAAAAAAAAGCCTCAAGGTGTTAATAAAATCTACTGGCGATTGCTACACCCAGGAGGAGCTGGCTAACCTTACAGTGCAGCAGTTGAGAGGCTGTACCCTTCTTCCCGGATCTCAGCCTCATCTGTACAATGCAGGCACCATCAGCAACCACAGTGGAGATTTCGTGAAATTAGGGCAGGCCAAGCATCCAGCACAGTGCCTGGCATGTGAATGCTGCTTAACTCGTGTTAGGAGTCAGCTTGTTAAGAGATCCAGGGCAGGATAAAGGTGAGCTTGGGTGGGGGTGGGGGAGGACACCTACCAAAAGAATCACCCAAGTGGTGTAGTAGGTGAAGATGATCAGGCTAACAGCGACGAGGCCAAATCCCACTACTTGGTCTGTCCCGGTGGCCTGTAGAAAAAGGAAGGCTCAGCTGGTGAGACGACTCTACGTGGGAGTGCACTAATGCAGGGTCTGCGCAGCCAGTTCACACTTGAAGCTTCTCATTCATTCAACAGCTGTAGTCGGGGGCTGACTGTGGCTCTCAGGTTTAGGGGACCGCGAAGAGTCCCGTGTCACCTGTCCACAAAGCGGTCGGGTACGCAATCCGGGTTCGGAAATCTCAACCCCCAACTCCAAAGGAAACTCCGAGCCTGACCCTTGATATCCCCCAAATCACAGAGGTACCGCACTGCAGGCTCACCATGTCCCCAGCGTTTCGCAGGAGCAACAGGACACATCCGGTTCTTAATTCAGTACTTTCCGGCTTGTAAATCGAGAGTGGCACTCCGGGAGTTGTAGTCTTGGACCAGTCCAAGATGGACGTATGGGCACGGTTCCCCACCCCGCTTTGCATGTCGGGAAATGTAGTTTCTAAAGGCAGCTGTGTGGCTGGGGACTCAAGACTTCCCGGTCTTTGTGACTACAGCACTGTCAGGCCCTCCCCAACAATAATCCTCTTTTAAACATCACACAGCAGTGTCTCAAGCCAGAGAGAGACATATCCCAGGGTTGGAAGTTCTTTTTTTTTTTTTTTTCTCTCTCTCTTCCTTCACGTAGGAAAAGACAGTGAAGCAGACACCCGAATTTAAATTCTCTATTTCCTGGTCTTGAAATTGTTGGTGGAACAGGTTGTAGGATGATCATCATTGGCCTAGGAGATGTGTGGTCTGACAAGGCAGCACCTATGAGGAGTTCCACTGGCAGAGAGAAATGATACTCCCTCATACTGGCTGGTTTCCTTGCCTACTGCCCACTTCCAGGTTTGAGTGTGCCCAAAGCAGCAGCTACCTCTTTGTGCGACCCCCGCCAGTTTCTTTGATGATTAGCACCCCAAGTTCAGAGTGCCTAAGGAGTGGGTAAGTCCGCAGCATGGAGTGGGGCTCCATACCAAAGCAGCTTTTTGGTTTTGTTTCTCAAGACAGGGTTTCTCTGTGTAATAGTCCTGGAACTTGCTTTGTAGACCAGGCTGCCCTCTAACTCAAGGACACACCTGCTCTTCCTCCAGAGTGCTGGGATCAAAGATGTATGGCACCACTGCCCAACTTTTTGTTTATTTTGTTTTTCCAGATAGGGTTTTAGCTTTGGAGCCTGTCCTGCCTGGAACTCACTCTGTAGACCAGAACTGGTCTCGAAATTGCAGAGATCCATCTGTCTCTGCCTCCCCAGTGCTGAGATTAAAGGTGTGTGCCACCACTGCCTGACCAACTTCCCCTCCCCGCAACATCTTCAGTTGTATTTGTGAGGAGTGGGCATGTGCAAAGATCAGAGAACATAGCTGGGTGGTGGTGGCACACACCTTTAACCCCAGAACTCAGAAGGCAGAAGCAGGTAGACAGCCAGGTCTACACCGAGAAACCCAGTCCAGGGGACAAGGATGTTTATTTTTAAGGGTGTAAGGATTATGACTGGGGGCAGGACTGGAAAACCCTGGCCTCCTGAACTTTCCCCAGCATGTTACCACACACACACACACACACACACACACACACACACACACACACACACACCCCTTCTGTACTGGTTCCCAAGAGAACATGGTAATGAGATAATTAAAAAAAAAACACACACACAACAAAACTAACAAAAACATCAACATTTAATACCCTCAACAAACACTGACACTAGGCTGATTTCCCCGTATGACATTTATATCCTACTGTAAGCCAAGACAGAGATACAAACAGCCCGTGGAATGGGGAGCAGCGGTAACATTGTTAGAAAGGAGGGAGTAAAACAAAAGCAAATACTCCTCCCCAGTCACCTCACCACAGAGGAAGACCCGCCTTCCTCCTCCTGCCAGACTGTGCAGTGTGATCAGTTGTAGGGGTAGCCAAAAAGAACCCTAAAAATATGTGGATCTTTATATCTCCCTAGTAGAAATATTAAACTGTCTTTCAAGAGGGTTCCAAACTGGTATTGCATAGACCAATTCCTTTCCAAAAATATCTCTTAACATATCCTATCTCTGTATGTAGAACTGGAAGTTCAGGTGCTCTGGGTATCCTGTGGGAATCACTGAGCTCAAGAGGACCCTTAGGCTGAAGACAGGCTCTTAGTCTCCAGCCCCACCAATGTTTATTTGGTTGTGGCCATGTTTTTCAGCACAGTGCCTACAACAGGTGAGTGTGGCAGGAGTGACCATCTGGTTCACACCTTGGTTTGGGTTTGGAGGAGTCCTTCCTGATAGTACCAACTGCTTTGTGTTGGAGCCCTGGAATTCTGAACCAGACCAAAATTGACTGGGCAAAGTCATAGACAAGCAAGACTAGTGGTATCTCCATCTTCTAGGGGTCATCTCACCTAGAAGCAGAGCTGCTAGCATCCCTTAAGTGCCAGGTACCTGCTGGAAAGGAAAGGATGCTCTGAGCTGAGCAGAACCTTCTCTAGCCATGCTATGCCTTGTCCAGGCAATACCTTCTGACATTCAATTTCCAAGAGCCACCAGGTGTTTAAAACAATGTCAACAAAATCCCTAGAAATTCTCAGGTCCCAACACCAGGGAGTTCTAAAACCACAGCTCCAACTTGCTAGCTAAGGAAGACAGAAACTGGGCAAGGAACCTCCCGACCTGGGGAGTCCAGCTATCCCACCCCCCCAATAGAACCTGTCCCATACCGCCCTGTCCCCAGCCCTGCTGAGATGCAGGTGGAGTGGTGAATAGAGGCACCTACCTCCCCTTGCTGGGGGGAGGAGGGAATACAGAACTGTGAACTCAGGAGGAAAAGGAAAACACCTAAATGGAGCTAAGGAAACGCCAGCCTGCTGGGTTGATACAAAATGAGTGAAGCTTAAAGGGGTGAGAGTTTATCCAGGGCAGAATGGCAGCCAGTGCCCTCCTTTAAGCAAAGTACAGGACAGACAAAAAGTGCTGGGGTTGGGGCTCTATCAAGAAGGTGGGAAGTAAGGGGAAGGCCTGGGTAGGGCAGGGCACAGGACCAGACTCCCCAGGGAAAGCATGCCCCTTGCCCAGAGAAGGGCTGAGGCTTATCTGGCAGTAAGCCAGCTCCAGTCCATCTAGTCACAGCCCACCTGGCTGACTGCCTCTCCAGCCTGGAACCCAGCCCAGGCCTGCTGACATGAGAGCAGAAGGAAGAGGCCTTCGCTTACCCAGCACAGCTGGGCCCCACCCTTCCTTTCCTGCAGGAAGGCCAGCTGCTCAGGTCCCAGCCCTGGGCAGATGGCACCATGATGCTCAGGCCTTTCTAGGTTCTAGTCTTGGGTCTGAGCTGGGGATAATTAGAGGGAAGGGACAATGCCACGTTCCAGCCAGGCTACTGTACCCTAGGTTTGGTTGCACAGCAGACAGCACCCAGGGGTACTGGAGACGGGCAAGGGCCAATGGCTGTGCTGGGGACAAGCATGTGCAAAGTGCAGGCTACAGAGCAGCAGAACATTTGATGAGGGAGGTGGGGTGTGAGGTCTCGGCTCCTAGGAGAAGGCTGCCAGCAGGTCTCCTCAGGATATAAAGGACAGCTGAAGCACTAAGCAGAGAGTCAAAAGTGGCAGGACTCTGGGGGTGGTCCAGCTCCTGAAGGGCAAGGGCAAAGGAGCAAGAGCTTTGTTAGCCTGGCTGAAGCTGTTGCTCCTGAAGTAAGTGAGTCTGGGAGGGGAGGCAGCCACAAGCACCCCAACATGAAGGAGTAGCTGTGTATCCTTTGCTGGGCCCATGTCCTCTCTAGTCTGAGCATGCCTGGCCAGCTCCATCTTGCCTCATTTTCTAGTGGTTGAGGATAATATTCACAGTGGCACCCAGGACCAGCGGTTCCAGGGTGGATGGAAAGACAATGGAATGATGCTCTGGGGGGCTGGTGTGGCTAGAGTACGATGAGGCACAAATGCAATGCAGAGCAGATCTGAAAGGCAGGTTCCTGCTCCTCTAGGAACGCTGCTGGCCTGGGTGGCAGAGACGGCAGGGTCCTTCTTCAGCCGGGCACCTGGTCCCTCAATGGCTCTCAATCACGACTGGCTCATAGACTCCAGAGGAGACTCTGCAGGGGACAGAAAGGTGAGCTTATTCCCTTTGATGGGGCAGTGACTGAGCATTCCCCCTGAGCTAGGCCCTTGTGGGTGCATCCCATACGATCACAGCTACCAGTCTCTTACAGACTGGATGAAACTGACAGCCCCAATGATGTTTAGTCATTTGCTCAGGGTGACAGAAACAGTACCAGAGTCAGTGGGAGCACCAGCTATGCCTGATCCCCTCTGGATATCAACTGTGTACACACCTGGATGTACCACCCTGGCAAGGAGGGACTGTTCTGTGTCATTTGACAAATGAAGAAACAGGTTTGGAGGGACTGTAAGATTTGTTAAGAAGGCAACAGAAAGTTAAGGGGCTGCATCCACTCTTTTCACTGCCTAAGTCTTGTAGAAATCAGGTTTCTCTTCTTCAATCTCCCAATCTCAGCTTCTCATTTTGCAAGTGGTCTAAGGAGGAATCTTTATCACCTTTGTAAGGAGGTCCCAGTGGCTTCTTGCTCTTCCACTCAGGGCTGTTGTTGAGAGGGTGTTGTAATTTCTAGCCTCAGCCAACAGGGGTCAGCAGAAGAGCACAAGACACCCCATTCACTAAAATTTTTTGAGCCCTGGATGCAGAAGTTCTTAGCTATAAGAACAGAAGGGAAAGCCCTGTATTCTGGACACTACTCTCACTCAAAGGCATGGGGGGGGGGGGGGGCGCAGAAATACTGGAGTTCACAGCACAAAGGCCTGTGGGAAAGAACTTTGAAGACAGTTACCAAGGACTCTGGGGATGGGTGGGTCCAAGGTCATCGGCGACAAAACAGGTGTTCAAAGCCAGGTCCTAGTACCTGCCTTACCACACCACCCTGTCCCCAGCCCCTACCTGTTGGCCAGCTGAATGCCACTCAGTGTGGTGGAGCCATCACGGCTCACAAACAGCCGAAGGTTACTGTCTGTGGGGACACAAGGGAGGTCAGGCTCGTAGTCTCTGAAGACCACCATCACCCCAGCTGGTTTGAAGTGGGTAGCTCACCCTCAGTGTTGCTGCCATCAGTGAAGTCCTGGCTCTGCATGATCTTCTCCACAATGTCATCTGCATCTATGCGAGTATCATCCACCCAGGTTGGATGGCTCTCCACTGAGTCCTTCTTTCGCCTTGGGAGTGAGGGACAGAATGAGACAGGGACAACAACAAGACAAGGGTAACCCCAGCATCTACAGAACTGGAACACTATGCATGCCCCATGTTGCACTTCATTCAGCCCTCCCTTTTTCACCTTCAGGGGCAGGTGCTGATAGACTAGGACTAAGGTTAGGTAACCTGCTTGAAGCCAAACCACATGCATGCAGTGGATCTAAGGCTCAAACAAGGTCTGTAGGATCTACAGACTAATACACAAAACCACAAACAGCAGCACCGGATAAGCAAGGGCTGTGATTTTGCAGTCAGCAATTGGTTAAATCATAACCATTCAACACTCTGAGGTGGGGAATCTGTTTTGTTGTCTCTGTGGTCAGATGCAAAGAAGTATAGGGAGTACAGCAAGTGATCTGTTTACCAGGGAGTCCCAAATAACAGGACTCACCGGAATGAGCGGTCTGACAGATGCAGGGGCCGTGGGGGTCGTGGTGGCTTCTCAGGAGGCCGAGGTGGCTTCTCAGGGGGTCGGTGCTCCCTGTCAATGCCCTCAGGGCCCTCTACAGCCATGCTGAGGCCACCAGAGGTACTGCTACTAGTAGACGTGTTTCTGCGGTGTGTCAAGTCAGACAGGCTGGAGGAGCGAGAGTGCTCAGTGCTGTAACCTGGGGTGACAATATTGGGAAGGTGAATATAAGGGCCAAGGGCTGTGGGAGATCCCAAGTTTGAGGCTTGACCACTCACCAGATAGCTTGGACTGCTGGCTGGCATAGCTGGAGTTTCGGGAATGGCCAGAGTGGAACACTTCCTCAGGACTGGACAGGCTCTGGTCTGGCTCCTCTGGCAGTCCTGGGAAAAGGAGCAAAGTTACTAAGGTGCCACCTCACCCATAAGCCTCCTCTCAACAAGCCTTCCACTCCATTCCACAGACTGAAGATCAAGAGCTAGAGGCAGCAATCTACCTCAGGCCACAGGCTACCCTCAGAACCCAGGTCACCCATTCCACAAGTAGCTGTTGGGACCTTCTTGAGTGCAGTATCTGTTAAAGATCTTTGAGGACAAAGACTGAGACTTGCTATCCACACCATGGTGAGTTGTGTAGAGCAGGGACAGCATCCATGGAAGCCTGATCAGTCTGTGGATTGGGCAAGTCTTTCCCCAGGAGATGGCTTAATACTGAGACCTTTAGGACAACATGGAGGAGAGACAGGAAGCAGCAAGGACAGGACCTTCTAGACACAGGGGACAGCATAATAAAGGCCTTGAAACTGGAATGAACTTGGGTTCACAGGAAAATCTGGGAAAGGAAGAGCAAGCAGGGAGGAGGATGGAAACAACAGACAAGCTATGTTCCAGGTCATTTCAAACCAACTTTCCTGGCACAGATGCGAGAGTGAATAAATATATAACTACACATTCCCTGTTCAAACATAAGAAATTAGGTGGGACCTAGGTATTCTCTGCAAATGCACATATTCCAGCCTTGCCAACCTCCTCCACTCCAGAGATGAGCATGAATACCCAGCTTATAGGCTAGATTCAGGTCTGCCGTATTTCTACCTAAACCAGGCAGGGTGTTTTTTTGTTGTTGTTTTTTTAAATAGGGTCTCACTAGGCAAGTGCCCCAGAACTCATTATATAGCCCCAAGCTGCTCCAACTCAGAGATCCACCTGCCTCTGACTTATAGAATTAAGGGTGTGAACCATCATGCTCAGATTTTTTTTTTAACTTTAAGATAGGGTCCTATGTAATCCAGGTGGATTTGAATTTGCTATGTACATTAAACTTCTGAACTTCTTGCCTCCATCTCCCACACTGAGATTACATGCATGTACCACTCCAGCTCAGATAGATCTCAAGTTCTTAACATGCTCTATGGCAGAACCAGATGCTAAGGCACATGGGCTCTCAAGTGTCACTCTGCTAGGAGAGAACTATTGCCTTTTAGTTTATACAAGGGCAGCATCTATACAGAGATGCCCTGGTCTAGAAAGCTCTCTCTTCTGGGTCCCAGAAAGCGCAATGGTACTGGGAGGCCCCTACTTCTGTACATGCCGAACCAAGGCAGGCAAGAGCGGCAGCACTTAGGGGTTAAAGTCAAGCCCAGTGGTAAGGTCTGTCATAGCTCTCAGAGCTGGAGAGCCACATGTGCCACCTGCTAACTAATCATCTCAAGCCTCCTAGCTTTGAGGCTACTTCTGGGAGGGAGTGTAGGGCTGAGGCCATCATGGTACTCAGGCCATATATATGATGGCAGCAGAAGCATACATCCTCTCCCACCACTCTATCACCCTCTTTTTGAGATAGAGTCCCACTGTGTAGCCCTGGCTAGCCCAGAACCCAGAGATCCTCCTTCCTGTCTGAGCTATGGGAGTAAAGGTGTGCACCACTATGCCTGCACCCTCCTCTTGATAAACATCTTCCTGGGACAGGAAGCTGAAGCCACAGGCAGTGGAGAAATAGGCAGATGAAGATGGTACCTGAACCCAGGATGGTGGGCCGAGCCTTGGGGGGCCGGGACCCAGTCAGAGAACTGGTGCTACCGCTACCACCGATGCTGGTCCCACCACCTTTACAGGTCAGCTGCAGGGATGAGTCCTGACCCGGGATGGAGATGGACTTGGCAGTAGATGGTGGCCTTGGGAGAACAGAGGAGTGTGACTAGGGTACCCTAATCTCAGGATCAGATGGAGACAGGTACCCCAGGGCCTGGAGGAAGCAAGAATCACTCATGGGCCCCATCCCCTCCAATAGCCAGGGTAACACTCACGTCTTAAAACAAGGGTCTCCAGAGAGTAGGAACATGCCAATGGTGACCTATTGGTAGAGTAGAGAAATCAGCACTGGCTGCCAAAATCCAGCCTCTGGGCCCCACCTGCCAACAGTGAACCTCATGTCCTTGTGGAGGACAAAATAGGCAGTCCAGGGGAAGGAGTGACAAGCGCTCACTTGCCACCTACCACCTGAGTGCAGCTAGTCAGCACCTGCAATTATACATTATAAATGGACTGTGAGTTCCAGGGGCCACATTTACTCACACCTGCCTTCCCAGGTGTGTAAGAACAGAACCTAAAGTTGGGGAACAGCGCTCAAGGAGCCCCACAAGGAGTAGGGGATACCCACAGGGATCACCATGGCAAGCAGAGGCTGTCTGAAAAGTTTTTTGTTTGCTTTTGCTTTTGTTTTCTGTAGCCCTGGCTGTCCTGGAACTCAATCTGTAAAACAGAATGGCTTCAAACTCTGAGATCCTCCTGCTTCTGCCTCCTGAGTGCTGTGATTGAAGGCATGTGCCACCAGAGCCGGCAAACGTTTTTAAAAAATGAAGTGAAATAAATATACAACCAGTACGGAATTTAGAACCCACTTGCAAATGATGTTGCCAATGGTCCAAAACAAGTTAAGCTTGAGCCTTTAAAAAATATGGGCTGAAGCTGGGCCTTGGTTGTGCACACCTTTAGTCCCAGCACTTGGGAGGCAGAGGCAAGAGGATCTTAGTGAGTTCTAGGCCAACCTGGTCTACAAAGTGAGTTGCAGGTCAGCCAGGACTGTTGTACAAAGAAACCCTGTCTAGAAAAAACAAAAAAAAAAAAAAAAAAAAAAGGGGGGGGGGTAGTTGGAGTGACAGGCAGAGAGTAACAGAATGGGAAAGAAATGCTCTAATCCCAGATCTCTAATGACCTCAGTGTGATGTCACCACAACCTCTGGGCTCAGGTTATTTAATGGATCTTTTCACTCAGTCACGTAACAGTATACAAAGTAGGTGACAGAACCAGTGAGGGAAGCAAAACTAAGGATAGCTGACTTCCAAAACTTAACAGACAGGACGTAGGGGGACTGGCCTCCAACCTGAGGTCACCTCGCTCCAGGCCTCTTCCATTGCCCTAAGCACAGGCCTACTGGGGAAGACTTTCCACTAACCAGTCTGAACCCTTCTTTTTTATGTTCTACAGGGTCTTGTGTAGTTCCCAAATGCCCCAGAATGTATGTAGATCTGCCTCCTGAGTGCTTGGATTAAAGGCATGCACTACCATTTTTTTGTTTGTTTTTGAGACAGGGTTTCTCTGTGTAACAGCCTTGGCTGTTCTAGAACTTTGTAGACCACACCGGCCTGGAAATCAGAGATCCACCTGACTCTGCCTCCTGAGTGCTGGGATTGAAGGTATACACCAGTACAGTCTGACTTTTTACTTTTTAAGACAGGGTCTTGTTGTGTAGCTCAGGCTGGCCTCAAATTCTAGGATTACCTAGTATGCTACCACATCTACCAGCCTAAACCTATTCTGATGTTTTTCAAGTCCTGTCTACTACCCCAAGCCCAGCTCTGTGCAGGTACAGCTGGCCAGCTCAGAGATGGTGTTAGGACAAACTGGTTTTCTCATCAGACTGTAAAAGGGTGTGGAAAGGAACCAAGAGGTGTTCCGGTTCAGACATTTGGGTATTTCTGTTCTTTTTAAGAAGACAAATCACCAGCTGCCTGAGGGAAATGAGCTACCTGGACTTTTGGAAACCTGTGTGGCCAGCAGGACAGGTCTGACTTGGAGCTCTCAGTATATCCCCTAATGGTGCTCATGAATCCAGAACATTAGTTCTGCTCACTGATACCTCACCAGGTGACCCTGAAGTCTCAGAACATGATGGGCAACAATTAGGAGCTGGTGGGTCAAATGACTGGTGGGATTAAGTGTTAGCTCTGCTTATGAGCTAGGGCAAACGATGGAACTTCTGTTGTTATGACTCCTTCCTATTCAAACTTGGAGCTAATGACAGACACCAGACCCATAGGCTATGCTTGCTGTTAGGGCCACAAAGTAGAAAAGTACAGGCACGTGGCACAAGGTTTATCTTGTCAGAGGTGCTTATCAAACCCTTTGGAAGGTAGGGGTCACACCAACCATGAGTGGAAAAACTGAGGCCATGACCCAGGGGCCCACATCCTCCTAGCATCTCTGAGAATTCAACATTTTCTCATGAGGAGCTACAACTGTCCCTACCCCTTGGGAAGGCAGAAGAGGCAGGCAGAAGGTACCTTGAGAATGGAGTTGTCCTGGCGAGTGTTCTTGGTGTCATACCCCTCCAATAGGCAGCAGCGCACGGTGGAACCTGAGCCTGCAAACTCAGCCAGGTTCAAATCAGTGAAACCCAGCTGGGAGGAGAAAAGAAAACATGGGAGGCTGCAGAGAGTGTGGGTGCTACAGATGCACCAGAGGGGTTAACTTGGGAGGGATGGGGAGGGGAGGACAAGCTCACCCCACAGCCCCAACTGACTGTTGTATAACCAGGACTCAAGGACAGGATCCTGGGTCAGCAGCACCAATGTAGCAAAGCAAGGAGCTCACATCCTTGAGTGGCACAAAGCACCCTTTGTATAGAGTCCCAGGGTGCACTAGGGCCACTATGCCTGAGATGAAAGGACATTGTTGTCTGTGACACAGACACATTGTTCCCAAGGAAACAAGGCCATGCTGTCAGGAGCTGACAGAAGAGCAGGCAGAGGAGAAGAGAAGGCCCGTGGGAACTCAGTGGCAGGGTGAAGTGATGAGATACTACAGAGTGGGCAGGACCCCATGAAGTCTCCAGTGGAGAGAAGAGGGAAGAGTCTGACATGGGCATGAGCCCTTCCACTGTCCTGGTACACAGGCCTACTGGGAAAGACTTTCTAGCAACCAGTGTAGACCGGTTCCTCTCGGGAAGTGTGCAGGTGAGATGTGAGAGACAGAAAGGACAGACACATAGGGCCACAGAGATGAATCAGATGGAATCCAAATATGCCTGAAAGGAGGAGACTGAAGCTGAAGTGAGAGAATGCCAGGCTTGGGTGTCACTAAGGTAGCAAACTAATTTGGGACACTTATTGTACACCAGTTATGTATAGGTCTTGACTACAGAGTTTAGGGACACAGGCTTCAGGATCAGAATGACTCAGAGGGACCCCATTTTCCAGTCAAGCCCTTCTGTGGGTACTGGTTTCCTCATTTACATAATGGAAAAAAGCCCAGGTGAGGTCCTGCTGTGGAACAAGAGGGAAAGGTCTGGCAGCATCTGATGTGGGCTGAAGGCTTCTTGGCTGTACACTGGTATCCTTACTCATGAGTAAACAAGAGACACTTGCATTTTGTCAGTTCCCGTCCCCACCCCATTGCTGGGCCAGGGAATGCATACAGAGCTGTGGGCTTCTGGAGCTCTAGCAGTGGGGATGTCTGAGCCCATGTTACCCTTATCTCAGATATCTCCTACAGGGTAAGAGGTAGAACAAAGGAAGATACAGTCCGGTCTGTGCTGGGCTGCCCAAGAGTCCCCCAGAGAAGAGAGATGGAGGATAGGACATGCTCATTCAAAGCTAGGTCATCTTCCCCCAATTTTTCCCATAGAAAAAGTTTTACTCCTAGGACTGAAGCTAGGAGTGGGAGTGGGTGTTGGGGTAAAAGGTAAATACTAATAAAAACCTAGGGTCAACACAGCTCTACAACAGCAGTGAATGGCTGAATCTATATCACCAGCCACATAGTAGGACACTGCTGCCATTAGAAAGAATACAGAAAGCTGAGGTGACCTGAAAAGACATCCATGATAGCCTGAGTAAGTAAGAAGCTCAAGCTGCACAATCTTTACATCAGCTGAACAAAGGCTGCTTACAAACACACACATACACATAGCACCTCCTTTCAGTTTCTCTAAGTCATATGCACACTTTGTAGCAGTGGTAGAGTATTTGCCTAGCATGCATGAGGTCCTGGGTTCTCACTCACACACACACACACACACACACACACACACACACACACACACACACACACACACACACACAAAATATTAGGAAACAGAGGCTGGGTGATCTCTGCTAAGTTCTTTTTTTGTTTTGTTTTTTGAGACAGGGTTTCTCTGTGTAGCTTTGGAACCTGTCTTGGAACTTACTCTGTAGACCAGGCTGGCTTTGAACTCACAGAGATCTGCCTCTGCCTCCCGAGTGCTGGGATTAAAGGTGGGCATCACCATTGCTTGCTATGGTAAGTTCTTAACCAATTCCTATCACAACTAGTGAAGTACCAGGAAAAGGAAGAAGGAAGGCAGCAGCGGTATGAAGTAAGGCCCTCTTACCTTAGAATAAGCCTTCCCGCCTTTCAGCTCCTGCAAAGACAGAGACACATAAGGCATGACTAGGAAACCTTGGCATCTCAGATCTCCCCAAAGCACCATGAAAACAACACAAAATGGGCAGGGTAACAGCCCACATTTCTCCTTGCAGTGGACATGGTAGAAAGGAGCCTAAAACCACAGGTGGTCAGTTCCACACCCATCCTCAGCTCTGGCTCAAAGCCCTTATTAGGCTCAGTCACATGAAGCCACCTCACCTTGCGCACAGACACTCGAAAGATGCAGGGGTCCAGCAGGCCTGTGGCAGGATTGGCACTCATCTTACACACAAAGGTGAACCTCTTCCGCCACCGTACACAATTCTCCTGTACCTCCTCCCTGTGGAGACAGGACAGATGAATATGGGACAGGTGAGCATTTAGGTTAATGTGGAGTATCACCCCCACTCCAGTCCTATCAGGGACAAGGCAAGGTCCCTGCTACCAGAGAGTTTTCATAAGACTGTAACATAACTGTAAATGAAGAACCCGCTAGGCAGTGGTGGTACTCGCCTTGTGAGTTTGAGGCCAGCCTGGTCTACAGAAGGAGTTCCAAGACAGCCAAGGCCACACAGAGAAACCATGTCTCAACCCCCCAAAAGAAGAGAAACAAAGAATCAAAGAGCACCCACCGGTGAGGAAAGGCTGGAGTAGCTAGCCTTTCAGGGGCCCGCTGCCCTGCTAAGCCTCTGCTCCCAGCACCTTGACCCTGGCTGTCCCTCCACTCCCATTATCAGTCCCTGCCAGGTGACCCTCACTTCAGTCTTCCCAGGATGGACTCACTCAACCCATTTACAGATAAGAGGTCAAAGCTAGGTCAGGGCCTCAGATCTCCCCATTAGTCTGCTGAGCCCACAAGCTGGGTTAACCCAGACTTGTCTAGTGACAACAGTAACAATAGCTAATGCTATACACTGCTTCCCAGGTGCTATCCACCATTCAAAGCCAGTAGTCATCATGGCCTGCTCAGAGTGCTGAACAAAGCCTGTCAGCCACTGTCTACAAAGAAACTGACAGCGGTAACAACCCGTCACTTCTAAATGAGGAGGTTATTTGATGGGAACTCAGGGGGCAGCTCATCTACGACTCAACCCACTGCTGTGGGGAACACCGCAAGATCTGGGGTGGTAGCAGTGCACAGCCTGGAGAGCTGAGCTGTGGCACCACTACAGTCTTCACCCAAACCCTGGTAGAACTTGTGCTCAGTTAGGGGCATCCCTGGGAAGGAAGCAGTGTGTGACAGCTGGATGGGGCAGTCACACAGCTGAGAAGTGACCCAAGAAACATTGGTTAGCTGCCAGATTTAGGCTCTGAGGTGAGGGTCAGAGAGGGCTGCAGTCAGGCACCTTCTGCTTCTCATGCACGGCAGCCTGGGTGGCTGTGGATCTATGCGCTCTCTCTCTCTCTCTCTCTCTCTCTCTCTCTCTCCCTCCCTCCCTCCCTCCCTCCCTCCCTCCCTCCCTCCCTCCCTCTCTCTCTCTCTCTCTCTCTCTCAACAGTTTGTGACACTGGGGCTCCAGCAAGATTTTAAGACCAGAACTCAGAAAGCAGGCTAGAATCCAGGCTGTCTAGCTTCAGAGTGAGAGCCCTAGGCTGCTACATTGGCTCAGGGGCACAAAAAGCAGGAAAACCTGGCAGCTGAAGCCCTGTGGACCTGTGAGGCCAGCAGTCCCACATTCCATATGATCTAGTAATTCTACCCCAGGTCCAACCCAACAGAACCAGAATCTACATCCACATCCACATCAAAACACATATAAATGTGTCAAGCAGCACTGTTCACAAGAGTTAAAAAGCAAATCAACCCACACATCCACTAATGGTTAAGTGGGTGAAATACTTGTGGTCTGCTCATGAGGTCGGTGTCCTTTGGGAGGATGCATTTTCACAGTGCTACTAACCTTGAACACATTATTGCTAAGTCAAAGCTAGGCACACAGGAGAACCTAGTGTAAATTTTATTTGTAGGAAATGTTCAGAATAGGCAAGTCCAGAGAGACAGAAAGTAGACTGGTGGTTGCCAGGGGACAGAAGTTGGGGAAATGAAGAGTGACAGCTAATATGTATGCATGAGGTTTCTTGGTGAAGTAATAAAAATGGTCTGCAGATGACTGCAGTGATGAGAGTACAACCCTGTGAGTTTGAAAAACCACTGACTTGTAGGAACAGTGCTTGCTGATCATGTGCAAGGCCCTGGGTTCCACAACTAGCACCAAAACAAACAAACACTGAACCACACACCTCAAGTAGATGAATTATGAAGTATGTGAATTCCATGTCAGTAGAACAAAAAACAAAATGCACAGCCAATCTGATAAATAGGAACATGGAAAGCAGGATAGGGAAGACAAGAACTGGGCAGAGTTCAGACACAGCTGCTACTTTAGTTAGGTGTCTGGAGATGGGTCTTCCTCACCAAAGCTTAGAATGGAGAGAGGTACGGGTGAACAGCAAGTACAAAGGCCCTGTGAGAATAGACTTGGTAAATGGAAACACCGAGGAGGATGGTCAGTAGGGAGACAAGTGAGGGACAGCGTGTTTGAGTCTGTTCATGGCTGCCTTGCCCACATGGATATGGCTAAGATGGAATCAGAAAGGCAGAGAAAGTCACTATTGAGCAACTGAGGCCTAAGCTTGAAAGGGGACAGGACTGGGACCACTCTGTGTGGACCCTAGCCCCCACCTCACCCCACCTAAGAGCAGAAGCAGCTGCTGGAGACCTGCAGAAGCAGGAAGGTTAGGACTCAAACACCCAGAGGAATTAGGATTAGAGTCTGGGAACAAAAGTTGATGGCAAACTGCCTGACCCTCCTTTGAGACTGTTTTGGGAATACCAGCTAGGAAGCCTAAAGCTCAATTGCAGTTCCCATCAGCCCTGCCAGGCCAGGCCAGAACAAATCACATGAAGCCCTCCCAGGCTAAGGTGACAAACTTGTTCCCTCCTACAGGAAGGTGAGCAAGGCAGAGTTTATTGGTTATTTGATCAGCCTTGGGCCACCCTCCTGTTTACATACTGGTTCTGAACAATTAGTATTACATGTCACACACACACACACACACACACCCGGGGAAAAGCAGCAGCAGGTACCCTTGACAGTCCCCTTACCCCACCCCACCCCGCCCCAACAAGGGGGCAAAGCAAGGCTGTAATAAACACCACAGTAGTAGTCACTTGAGTACCTGCTGTAACCTCATCCCACAATTCAACACAGAGGGGGGTGTTTCCCTGTCCACTTTTTGCAAGAAAATGAAAAGAAGTTCAGAAATGCTGCACGGCTCACCCAAGTTCTAAAGATGCACTCTCAAGCCCAGACCCAAACCCCTTTGGGGAACAAGGAGGTTCCAGGCAGAGCGGGAATGAGATGGACAAGAACTCAGGCCTATAGGAAGGACTGAGGCTGTCAAAAGGGCAGCCATGAGTCCTGGGCAGGAGTTTAGGAGCTATCAGACTGGATCCACTTAAGATGCATTAACTAAAGCACCCACAATGTGCTAGGATCCATTAACTAAAGTACCCACAATGTGCTAGGCATTTCTAAAAATCCTAGATGGAGAAATGAGCAGTACACAAAGCAGACAGAAATTCCTGCTTTTGAAGAGCTGCTACTTTGGCAGTGGGTAAGAGACACAGAAAACTTAGGCAATGCATGTCCTAGGTGTTAATAAAGGAATGGGAGGAGGTGGACAGTGGACAGTCAAGGTAGACAGAGATGTGAGGGAAAGGTGGCCAGGGAAGGTCTTAACAAGAAAGTAACATCAAACCCAAGCAGCACCAAGGCAGTGAGTGAGCCACACAGATGTTTGCAAGATGAAAACAGAAGTAGAAACAACAAAGATCCCGAGGCCAATGTGTGTACTGAGGGACAAAGTGCGCAGAGTGGTGGGCTCCAAAACAAGTGGGGGGGAGAGAGGGAGTCTTGGCCCCCAAATTACAAAGGGATCATGTCTGTGTGGGGGGCTAAGATAGGGTGAGTCGGTAAGGCCAAGTTAAGCAGAAATAGAAACAAAAACTCCGATGTGAGACTGCTTAGTGGCATTAAGTATGAAACTGGTAGAAAGAAGGTAAGCTTGGGAGACAGAGGAAGGCAATCTGAGCTCTGAGTTCAAGGCCAGTCTGGTCTACACAGCTAGTTTCAAGACAGCCAGGGCTACATAGAGAAACCCTGTCAGGGGAAAAGAGAATAAAAAAAAAAAGGGATAGGAGAGCAGGGTCTGGTGGCTCACACCTTTAGTCCTAGCACTCCTGGGGCTGCAGCAGATGGATCTGGCTACATAATGAGATCCTGTCTCATAAAAAGGAAAGAAAGAAGCAAGGGAAGGAGGGTAGTCTCACTCATCGGCAGGACAGCAGGAAAAGCCAGATACAGAAGGTTTCTACAATACATCATCTCTGTTGGTTTCAAAAGGACACATGCAAGATGGTGTGCACAGAAAATTGAGGTGCCCATGACATCATATGGCAAATGAAGGCCACCACTGGGCACCTGAGTGTCTGGAAACTACAGATGAGGATGGGCAGGGAAGAGATACTGTGTCATTTTCCCTCTGGGGATGGAACACAAGACATTATGAATGCTAGACAAGCAAGCATTCTCCCACTGACACCCTAAGTCTCCTTCCCTTCCTCTTTTCTCTTTTATTTTTGGTGATACTGGGGAGTGAACCTAAAGCTTTGCACATATAACCAAGCACTCCACCACAGAACAGTTAATATTGATTGTAAATTTTCACAATGCCTACCTGGGTAAAGGGAACTAACTCCTGTGTGAGTCCTGGAGAATACAGTATCATTAGAAGCAGAAAAGTTACTCTAGGGAACAGCATAAGCCCTTCTAACACTGGGAGACCACAGAGTATCAAGGATGCTGCAACTGAGCACCACCTTATACCATCTGCAACCTCAATGGGCTGGGAGGTACTAGGGAGGCAGAGGCTGGGCCTGCCAGGGAACCACAGGCCCGTGCATAACAGTGCCCAATTGCCCAATATATACACCCATTCCTCAGGAGCACAATGGGCCAGCCATGGAAATCAAGACAGTGTGAAAAGACAAATTATACTTAATAGTAATATTACGTAAAATTACGTAAATAGTAATATAACCCACTCCCTTCCCTGAAAATATGGTTCAGCATGCAGCCAGACAACAGCAAGTGTAAAATTACAAAACTTTAGCATGCTTAGCCCCAGATAACTAACTAAATAAAATGGCAAAAACCAAAGCTCAGAGATCACCCCAGCCCAAAAGGACCAGAACCCTGGACTGCTAGTTCCCTGGACAGCTGGCTTATTTATACTGATATGAAAGGAAAATGGCCAGAAGGAAGGGGACAGACAGCA